ACCATTTTGCCTAACATCTTCAGGTAACATGTGTGGGTGGCAAATCATAGAATCATCCCAGCAGGAGGATCTGAGCTCCTTGGAGGAGACACTGAGATCAATTATCCCACCTCTTGCTTAACCCAAACCCGCCGAACCAGTCAAAGGACTGCACATGCTGGATCTTGTGGAGGACTTCAGCTGCATCTTCTGTATTACTTACAACATGTCCTGGTTCATTTCTGAAAACATTTTTCTCTTCTATTAGCATTGCATATGCAACCCCCAGTTTGAACACCAGAATGCTCAACACTGTGATTTTGGAGGGCAGTGGATACATTACTATCCTCTTCACACTGCAGCGGTCCCAAGGAATTAAGTATAGTATTAGATACCTTTACAATAATTTTAGACATGCCATATATAGCCTCTTTAGTTGCTAATTTCATTGGTCAGGATATATGCTACCGGATGGAAGAGGGAGGTTTTCTGTCACACAACAGTTACAATGTATAAAAGAGCCCAGGATGAGGATTTGGGAGGCTGTTACATTTTTTTCTTGTTATATTTGCAACAATATATCCCAAGCAGCCATTGCAGGGAATGTCATAATACAGTGGTTTTCGTTTACAGTGAAGAGTCCAGCTTTCCTTAATGCCAGGTTTAGCGTATTCACCTTTATCTACCAGCTAGGTGACAAATGAATATTTTTATCACTTTTCAGTCACTTGTTGATGTTTTCTATACATGTTAGAGATTAGTCCCTTGCCAGATCTGTTTGTTGCCCCAAAATTTGTTTCCCAAACTGTGAGTTCTTTTTTGATTGTTTTAGTGAAATCTTTTGATGCATTTAAGTGTCTTAATTTTTAGAAGGTACCAATCATGTAGTTTGTCTAATCTTTGTATCTTTTCAGTTATATTGGGTAATGTATTTATACTGTGTCCTTGGACCCCTAAGTTTGTCCCTGTTGTTTTCATTGATGAACTTCGTTGTTCTGGGTTTTATATTTGGGTCTTGGATCCATCTTGAGTTCATTTTTGTATGTGGTGTGAAATCTGGGTCCTTTTTATCCATTTGCAAATGGGTATCCAGTTGTCCCAGCCCATTGGTCAAAGAGACTGTCTCTTCCTCATTTAATGCCTTTCAGTCAAAGGTCAGCTGTCTGTTATGTGAATGGATCTACTTTTGGTATCTTAAGTGTGTTCCATTGGCCCACGTGTGTGTTTTGCCTACCGTGACTACAGTGGCTTTTGAGATCTGGAAGTGTGAGGCCTCCTACTTTGTTCACTCCTGGATTTTTATACCCCTAGAGGTGGCCAGTTTGAACCCACTTGAAGATACTATGGAAGAAAGTCCTGGTAATCTGCTTTGATTAAGAGTTAGCAAAAAAGAAATGAAGAAAAAAAAAAAAATTGGCTGCCATCAACTTCATTAAGCTATAAAACTCACAGCAAACCTCTGGCAGGGTAGAACAGCCCCGTAGAAGTTTCAACTGTAATCTTCACAGAGGAATCTTGGTGTGATGCTGGTAGACTGCTAACTGCAAGGTCAGCGGTTCAAACCCACCGACTGCTCCTCAGAAAACCCTACACAGGGTCGCTATGAGTCAGAACCAGCTTGACAGCACTTATTAGTAACAGTCTTTACAGAAGCAGACTACATCTTTCTCTAGCCGGTGGTTTTAAAAGTCCTCCCTTTTGGTTGGTAACGGCGCATTTATTTACCCACTGCGCCACCAGGACACCTTTGCTGAGTAAATTGTTTGGAGGTAGCCAGTGAGTGGAGTGAAGTTGGCCCTGAATGTCTGCAGAGTGGTATCAGCTGGAACATTTTTAAATCACAAAAGATCCACTGTCACCAAGTAGATAGATTCCAAGTCATAGCGACCCCAGAGGACAGAGTAGAAATACTCCCTACGGTTTCCAAGGTTGTGCAATTTTACGGGCATACACATCCTCATCTGTCTAGAGCGGCTCGTGGGTTTGAACCACTAATGTTGTAGTTAGCAACCCAAACCTGCACCATCTGGACTCCTTTTGAAACCCTGAGCTCCGCTGAGTTAAGGAAGGGGCTGGAGCTCCCCCTGCAGGCCATTCAGCTCCCTGAAACCAGGTTATGAAGCCTGTTGACACCATCTTTTTTAAAATATTCATTGACTTTTGGTTTCATATACAAGGAGCTTTAAAAAAAGTTTATGGAAAAACATAATGAATATGTAGTGGAATTGTTCCACAAAGTTTTAGAACCCCCCCTTTCACAGATGTTTGTTTGTTTTAAAGAGTTCAGTATTTGTGGGTGTTAACATCTGTTTTGTGAGCTAATCTGCTAAAAGATAACCTCAAGATCATTTCATTTCGGTTCAGAGCCTAAAGAATATGTGAGGGAGTAGTCTCAGGAGTCCCTTAGTCTCAACTTGCCCAGTAATTATGGGTTTTGAAAGAATGTAAGTCGTGCTGACGGCACTGTGGGATAGCCATTCAAGCCAGCTGTTCCTTGGGAGAAAGATGAAGCTGTCTGCTCCCGGAAAGATTTGTGCAGCCTTGGAAACCCTGTAGAGGATCAGAGGCAGAACCGATCAACAGCACACAACGACAAGGAATCTTAAGTTCTCGCCCACAGGGTCCATCCACTGTGGCCCTGGACACACGGTCAGCAGTGGTAGCCAGGTGCCACCTCCTTCTTCTCACGGGGTAGATGAGACCAGAGTTTGTATAGCTCGTCCTGTAGACAAGTCTCTCATATTTGTCCTGGATTTCCTTCTGTCTCTTTTGTTCGGGATGAGTAGAGATCTCTAGTTAGGGCCCCAGAAACTGCTCAGCAGACAAGGATGTGTAGAAGACAAACTGTACTGTGCCAGTTAACCTAACTGTACCATAAGACTATGATCTTGTACCTTTAAACCCAGAAAAGCAGTTCCATGAAGTGCTTTGTTCTAAGTAGTATCTATAACCGGGCCTCACATTCTTTCATCTATGAATGTGAAAGGGGCTTCCAAAAGTTCCATTCTCTTTTCATGCCATTTTCCCATGAACTTTTTGAAATCTCCTCATGTTTGCATGCACACACATATGCTACACATATTCATGTGTCAGTAATTGTCCACAGGTATACATATATGCTGGGAGCTCTGGTAGTGTAGTGGTTACGAATCAGGCTGTGAACCACAAGGTCAGCAGTTCGAAACCACCAGCTGCTCCACGGGAGAAAGATGAGGCTTTCTGCTCCTGTAAAGATTTACAGCCTCGGAAACCCTGGTCAGGGTCGCTATGCGTCGGAACCGACTCGATGGCACTTAACAACAACAACGTACATATATGCTGGAGTCTTGGTGAGTGCTGCAGGATAAGCACTGGACCGCAAGGTCGGTGGTTCAAACTCAGCAGCCACTCTTCAGAAACCCTATACAGGATTGCTAGGTGTTAAAAATAAATCAATAGCACTTAACAACAACAACACACACACACATATGCAGACATTCATATATGAGTGGACATCACTCATGGAAAAGTGGAAAGGGAGAGAGTGGACTTTGTCCACAAACTTTTGTAAAGTCCCCTCGTGTGAACATTTTTATAAATTTAAACATAAGCACACATTTGCTCCTTCTTGCTTATAAAGAAATTTATTTCTGTCATTTTCCAGTGAATGTATGGTTTCTTCTTCTTTTTCTTTCACACTCAATATTGCTAAAGATTGTATTTCAATATAATCAACATTGTAAATAATCCTATGTCTTTTAAGTAGTAAACCAGTGTTCTGAGCGGTGGTGGTGGTAGGCCGCAAATATCAGTCATGTATCCCCAGAAACTGTGGCACCAAAAAGGCTACAAACCTGTGATTGAAAGGCTATCTGGGAACCTAAAAACTAAGTTTTGGAGTCCTGGTGTGGCGGACTAATGAATTAATGGCTTAACGAACCAGACTACAAGGTCAGTTCAAATTCACCAGCTGCTCCTTAGAAACCCTATACAGGGTCACTGTGAGTCGGAACCCCAACTTAACAACAACAATCACAACCTGAGTCTTGACAAGAATGTGCTTTTATTTTTTGTTCGCAATCATCACCGTCCTGTGTAGTTTGTTGTTGTCGGTTCTGACTGATAACGACCCTGCACAGGGTTTCAGAGGCTTTCAGTCTAGGGAGCAGAAAGCCTCATCTTTCTCTCGCAGAGCGGCTGGCAGGCTCAAACTACAGACCTTGTGGTTCTCAATTCAGTGTTCATTGGGTGGGTTAGGGAAGTGAGCAGGTCACAATTCGGGGTCAGAAATGCTCAGGGCTCAGTTGTTCCAGTCAGCCGCTAACAAATACCCACAGGACACACTCTTCTACCATCAGCCTCTGTCTGAAGGCCCTCAGCTCTTGCAAATTTAGTTCCCCCACTTAAACTTAAGTGCCTGGAGATCGCCTACTCTACAAACAAGCTTCCTGCTCAGAGTCACTCAGCTTTCCTTGCTGCGTGGGCTGGGCAGTCCACTGTTCTGCTCCGTCCTCTGGCTCTTGGTTCTGCTGCTCTTTCTGTACCCCTCCTTCAGTATGAGTAAGACTGTGCCCCGCTAGTAAGACTGAGCCACTGTAGCCTGTCCTTCTCAATGCATAGGCCCCAAAAGTTTGTAGGTTCTCTGCTGCCATTCCCAAAGACACGTCTGTGACAGTCCTCAGCCACATGCTGTGTTACTGGCTCTGCCCTGTGCACCCCTCCAGAGCAGGGCCTATCAATACAGCCACCCCTAAATGTCCCCTGAGTGAGGAGGACCCAGAGGCCGTGATGCCTCCTAGAGACACAGGAGAAAGGGCTCAGATAACCTCAAGTTCCTGAGTCCACGTGGGAACCCATCAGGCTCTGGAGAATGAAGGGGCGGCAGGTACTTGTGACCACAGGTACCCACCCCTCTGACACTCCTTTTCAGAGCATGGAGAACCTCAAGCATGAGGAAGCCCTTTGTGGTTTTGCTTCTCCAGGTTAGGAAGACTAGAGAATTGATAAAACCACTGCTGTTCTCAGAAGGCCCAGGAGAGACCATGGAGACGCTGACGTCAAGACATGAGGAGCGAGGTGAGTTGAAGAAGGCTCTGGGCTCAGAGAGTATAAGCTGGGTGTGGAGAGGGAGGCTGTTGGGTGAATGAGGACTTGCTGAGGTGTGAGGAATCCAATATGTAAAGCTGTACGCTTTCCTGAGGTTCAGGGAGATGGTCTAAGAGCTCAAAGGCGGCACCATCTCTTCCTCATGGCTCCTTTCTCTCCTGCAGCGATTCGTACTCAAGCCGCAGCCCCTTCCCAAGAAGCAGAGGACAAGACCATGTTTCAGGTGGGTTGAACTTTTTCTTCTCTTCAAAAATTGCACTTTGGGCATCAGAGAGCAAACATTTCTCCCTTACTTCATAAAAGGGAAGAGATGAAAATGTAGTGTGTGGCTATGTTATATTCCTCATTGCACTTATCCGTAAGATAGCAGTGAGAGATGGGATGTGAATCTGTTTGAGAAATGAAGAAAGGAGTGGTGAATCCCAGAGGCCCCCCAAGACCACCCTCAGGTTCAGTGATTCACTAGGAAGCCTCACAGAGCTCAGCAAAGCTGTTGTACTGAAATACACGAGAATCTGGTTGATTACAGTGAAAGGAGACAGACTGACATCAGAACAGGAAAAGTCGTAGGGCAGAGTCCAGAAGAAGACACAAGCTTCCAGGTTCACTTCTCCCCGTGGAATCTTACTGACAGTGCTGAAGTTACACCTTCCGCTAGTGACATGAGACAACATGCTTGAAGATTTGCCAACCAGGGAAGATCACCTGAGCTTCGGGGTCCAGGCTTTTTATTGGGAGTCAGTCACGTCGACATGGCTAGCCATTTTACCTAGTCTGCAGAGACTTCCATCATTTTTGTTAACATGGACTATGTGGTTTGATTCCAGACCCCAGGCAAACAAAAACACTGTCCAGGTAGGATATTCCAAGGTCTCACAGCATCATTTTTTTTGGAGCCAACAGGGTCAGGACAAGCCAGGGCTGCTGGGTGAACCCTTCACTGCACAGATACATAATCAGCCGTCTGCTCTACGGGCCTTCTGTCAGTGGTAGCTTCATTAGGGGCTGGGACCCAAATTATGTAGTGTGGTGGCATGGATGAAATTGTGTCCCCCCAGAAACATGTGTCAACTTGAGTGGGCCATGATTCTGAGTGGTGTGGCAGTTGTGTAATGATGTAGTCACCCCCTGCCCACTGCCTAGTGTGGTCTAATGATA